CCCCTACTCACGCAATCTCTAATCTGCTTCGTTAATGGCTGCCGACATTATTATCGTCACCTGAGCGCGAGGTAGCGCGAGCGGGATTTCGGGAGAAAAGCTCCCGATCTCCGGTCCGACGAACGTGCGTACGTGCGCACACGCGAGCGCGCGCGCGCGCGCTCGTTTAATGTACGTAACGCGCCACGTCCACCGGCTCATTGCGCAACACGAAACAAGGAGTTGTCGCACGTGTCCCGGGATTAGAGAAGCCGCCGCGAACGTGATCGTTACGAGAATGGCGACACCTTCCGTCACGAGCCAGCCTGACGTCAAAACCTATTATATACAGTCATTTAATAACGAAATAAGCCAAATGCTCCTATCCCCGGCGCTTATCTCGGTGTACGCCGAGGCCTCAGCAGCGTCGGGACGTAAGTTCGCTTTACACGGATGCTAGAGTCCTCGTAGAAAAGAAAGTTGTCCTCTCGAATTGCGCGCGACCTGCCTCGATCCAACGCGCTCGACAAGAATTATACCTCCTCACGGCGACTTCTTTTTCATGTCCGAGCAATCAGGAGGTATTTACACGTAATAGATATGCATTATAAGGCGATATCGATCAACGGTTAATAATAAAGATCCAACAATAGCGGTAAGGCTTTGAGCGGTTGTCAGAGTAACCTAGTGGCGAAGCTCGTTTGGAAGTCTCCGCTCGAGCGACTACTGCCACTGTATTTATCTGAAAAACGTGCTTGCAAAGCTGGCCGTTAGGTAAAGCTCCGCCGACTCTCGATCCAGTGGCGCGTAAAACGTGTCGCAAAAACCGAGTCCCGGTGTCATCACACGACCCTCTAGACGTACGCCGACATTATTATGTGTACGTGCGCTTCGATATTGCCATGCCAAAGAGAGAGAGAGAGAGAGAGAGAGAGAGAGAGAAAAGTGCCTTGTTACTACTTCCGCATGCGTCGCTCGTATCGTGGCCATCTCTTTTCTCGCTTTTTTTCTCGTTTTTTTTTTCTTCGACAGTCGGCCCGTGCTAATAATCGCACGTATCGGCGAATGCATGTGCTGTGCGACAATCGATGGCTAACGTAAGTAGGCTAATGGCCGCCGCTCACGCTTTTATGACACGTGATGAGCGGTCAAGTGTAATTTGCGCAATAAATAAATACGCCAATTACAAAATGCATGGCCGATTGTCGTCGCCATACCCTCCAGCCGTCTGTATTACTCACCACTCGGCACTCTTACCACCGGCGGACACTCTTACCATTCGACAGACAAATTAATTTTAGACAATAATGAGATTCTGCCGCTGGAATTAATCGAGTATTACGCGCTGTATATCTGATTCGGTGATTAATTGATAATTCTTTCTCATGAAATGTCCGACGAGTACGTTATTTTATTAATCAAATTGAGGAAGTGAGGAAAAATGATATTTAGAGAGAGAGAACGAGAGAGAAAGAGAGAGAGAGAGAGAGAGAGAGAGAGAGAGAGAGAGAGAGAGATAGGGAACTAGATTATTGGCCTCTTCCTCTTTATTTTGTTTTATAGTTAGTAAGAAAATTGATAAATAAAATATGTAAATGCACACAAACACACAAACACACACACACACACACACACACACACATATAAATCTAATGTACCGATATACTGAAGCTTCGACAAATTCGTTCGTACGACCAACTGATTATCGTTGCACCGAATCAATTATAAGGAACGCGTAATAACGATCAACGGGTTAACTCGCGATTATACGCTCAGCAATGACGTGAGACCCAACGTAAGAAAGAAAAAAGCTTTAAAAGTGAGACGCAATAGTATAATAGTAAGGCGATAATTTTTCTTCTCCTTTTATTTTCCTTATTATTATTATTATTTTTTGTTTGTTTTTTTCTGTTTATTCATTAATTTTCTTCTTTTTCTTATTTTTGTTAGAAATAATGAAAAATCACACGACTAATGTCGCACGCGACCCACATACGCAAAGTCATGAATGAATAAATCGTCGGGCAATTATAATTCTTGCCCAACGTCGCGTAATCCGAGAACAATAAAGCCACTCCTAGCAATTAATGCGCGCAACGGGGAAAAGCTTTCCAAAGTCCCCTCTCGGCCATTTCGCGTGGCTACGCGCTGACAAGCGGCTTCGTCGAACCGACTCTGGTTGGAAGATCCTTGGGGAGACCTTCGGGATGCTGACATCCGACGTCGAAAATCAAACGTTTCGTGTAACGGAAATAAGTTCGCCCGGTATAACGACGCGAGTTAATTAAAGTCCCAATGGTTGGGCCGCCGCCTCGATAGATCATCCCGTGCTTTATTCGCACGATCCTCCGGCACTTCGTTTCATTAATATATATTATAACTATAAATACCCAAGTGCTGGCCCGAATTTCCAATGCAAATTTGCGTTCATCGATTCTATCTGTTGCCATGTTTTTTCAAAACCATTACGTTGCGACTGAGGCTCGGGAAAATTGCATATTATGCGGTGCTCGTATTTTGA